CACTTCCTATATATGCTGGGGTATATATATTCAGCTGCAAAAGCAAATTATTTTCTCTACATTTTTGCATTTGATTCTAAGCATAGACACTTGACCATGTGTGTAATAGGGGGAATACTGTGCAAAACAATCTTTTCTAAAGTCTTGTTATTGTGAATCTTTCTCAATATTAGTTCATATCCTAAGTGGATAGAGCTCCCTGCTAAGAGATTTCAACTATACTTAAAGAGGGCTTGGCAAACTATTAGAAAATACATGGGAGAAATCTGAATCAAAGCAAGATATTCAATTAGATATTTAATTCATGAACGCCCAACCAAAAGATTGAACTCTGAACAACATGCAACATTTTACTGAACATGAAATATTTCTATGGTAATTAGTGTTTTTATTCCCTTCTTTCATCCTTTTCTTTTCTGCATGACCTTGCAGGTCACATTAAAAACTTAATTCCTCGCTTGAAATCCTTTATTCATTCTTTTCTTGTTGGTAGGTTTGTTTCCTCAGAAATACTTCTCGGCCCATTCATTGCCATTTTTTTAGAACATTAAAAATAATGCAGCAGTAGCAACAGAAGAACAGATAAATGGAGAAACAGTTTCATAACCTGCCATTTCTGCAGCAAAATTTTTGTTTTTTTAAGAATCATAACTAAAATGCATGTTTCAGAAGAAAAAGATAATAGTGCTATAAAGGTTTTTTTTTAATAATTTTATTGTATTAAATAAAACTGCCTACCAAAGTCAAATATATCAATCTTTATTGTGGCTATTAACTGGCACAAAACAAATATAACTGTAGGCCTAAAGATCAGCATAAAAGGATTAAAATAACTGATCGGGGGTAAGTATGAAGCAGAAATTTTAATTAAAAGGAAATTTGAAGATAAAAAGCCTCACTTAAAATACGAGTGTTTTTTGTTTGTTTGTTTGTTTTATGGTGCCTTTGAATCACTGTTGACTCCTGGTGACTGCCAGGACAAGTCCCTGCAGTTTTCTTGGAAAAATTTCAGAAGTGGTTTGCCATTGCCTCCTTCCTGGGACTGAGAGGGAGTGACTGGCCCAAGATCACCCAGATAGCTTTGTGCCTAAGGCAGAACTAGAACTCATGGTTTCCAGGTTTTTAGCCTGGCACCTTATCTGCTACACTAAACTGGCTCTCTTTTGGCTAATAAAAAAGTAAATCTATCCTAAATTTAGGAGAAAACCATATCTAGCAGACCATAATTAATCAAGTTCAGGTGCTATTCATTACTATACACATATGAAAATCAATTTCAGGCATAAAATTATATATTTTGGGACATTTCATTTATTGGCTAGAAAAGTTTATTTCACACAATTGCAGCCTACTTTTGAACATGTTCCATGTTATAAGAGAAGACATTATTACTGCCACCTGCTATTCTGTCAGTCACATATCTGGCTGTCTGCCCACCTGCCTGTCTGTCTCTTCCTCTCTCTCTGAATAAGACTGAATAGGAAATTTATTTATTTATTTAAACAATTTATGTGGCCGCCCAACTCACTCACGGAAGACAACAGAAGACAGTTATCTATAATTAATTATTTTTTGTATTTTGAATATATTCAAAATGCCTATATATCAAGAATCTAAGTTTTACTGTTTACAACATTTGTCATAACATGTTTTGAAGAAGTAGCCGCAATACTTCATTGTCTAATAGTCACTGACTCTTTTGCTATGCAGATGAAATACAAGGTGCCCAAATTATATTTTGAATGAAACAGACACATCGCTATAGATCTCTGAAAGTTACATTTGTTTTGTACTGCATTGAAAAATGTACAGCAAACCAAAATGTTATCACACTTACATGTATATCCTACAAGAGTTTCCTAGTAGGATGTCAAATCTTACAATATTCTAATCAAAATTTCTCCCTCATAAGCAAGTTAAAAATCAGTTTTATCAGTCTCTCATTTAGTACATTAAGTTGTCGTTCAACCTGTGGCCTAACAAATAAAGAGTTGGTCAAGGTAATCTGCTGATGAATTAGACATCTGAATCCCAACCAGTTCAAAATCCACTGCGTTGCACTAGCTATAAGGAGGCAGAATCTAGAAATAAACTGCTGTCAGTCAGTGCAAGGCAATTGCCTTTTAATACAGGTTTGTTTCTAATATATTTGAAAATGCTATGGTAACAAAGATAATTTGCAATTATTTTTTTAAACACATAACATACAAACAATCCCTACTGGTAATATAAAATAGAAAAAAGTATCTTTTTCTTAGGGCCTCTTTTTTTCCAACTTCCTCTTAGTGATAGACAATATATTTAACTGAGGTTGGCTGAATGCAGTTACAATCAGTGACTGTTTCTATATTCAGAGAAACTTGTTTAAAAACCTCACCAGTAATTTCAGCTGCCTACAGAGAGAAGAGAGAAATGGCATGGATATTCTTGATTCCCCCTTGGTTACTATTGGCTAATGGATGAATAGGAGGTCAGTTAATCAGATATGGTAATTCAAATGATAGTATGCATATGAATAAGATCATTGTGCAAGGTATTTTTCTTTAGTATTCTGGGGCTGTGTCTTATGGTTTTCAGACAATATTACCTATTTATTTTTAATTAATGGAAGGGGAAGCATAAAAGTATAACAAAGTTAGATTACAGATCACAGTCCCATAAGTACAGATGTACTGATCAGTCTAAAGTTGATCCATATGCATATTGCAGATATTTGAACATTATTTCATTCCATCAAATGTCAAACAGAATGATTTTAAAAAATGGTGCCAGGAAAACAATACTTGCTACTTTCCGATTTTATATGGATTATGGATTTTTCCAAAAATGTCTGGATTTTTCTATGCAACTTTTTTTCCATACAACTATTCTAATATATAGTTTCTCTACACAGTTTTCCCTGTTATTCAGTTTATTACCATGCAGCTTAACTCGTTTTTTTTTTTTTTAAATTCTCAAATATGCTATTGGAATAAAAGTTTCAAATTGATAAATGAAAGTAGTGCTGGCCAATAAAAAATAAAAAATTGTCCTCTTTTTACTGTTTGCAGTTCTTTTTTGAGCCTCCAGTTACATCAATTAAAAAGATATTATCTCATAGTAGTTCTATTTAACAATACAAAACAACTTTAGTAATACTTTTTTTCTTCTAAAACACATCATTACATTGCAGTAATATTTAACTGTAATTTTGGCAAACAAAGCTTCCTATTAAACTGAAAATATATTCTATAATGCCAAGATATAACTGCTCCCTTTTTCTTTTTTAATTTACCAGTCATTTTTTTCTGTATCAAGGTCTGCCAGAAAATTTAGCTAGAATTCAATTTGCCTTGTCTCCAATGAAGTAAGGGTAGAAGCCATGAGGTTTTCAATTTCCATCCTGCACCTAGTAGCACTAATTCTTTGAATAAATTTTAAGTGCAGAATTTATTTCCTTAGGTCTCTAATGTGCCCATCAGTACTAATGTATCCATGCATACCTTTCTTGGCATCTACCCTCAAGATATCCTTCCCTTTATTTTTGTTATATTTTCCTCATTAAAAAAAATGAAATCAATTCATATATGGAAGCTAAACAACTGACTGCCCAAAGCATAATTGAAAGATAATTTCCATGAATACACACTGGGCCTAGTGCAGAACAAAAGAGAATGGTTTTAAGTTACCATTAGTCATATGAATTTTAACAATAATAGTAAGGACAGCTGCACAATAGAATTAATTATTGAGGGAAATGTTGAGCTTCCTTTTCCTGCCCGTGTTCAAACTATCTTAAATGGGATTCCTAGCATTGAACAGGGGACTGAAATCCAGAGCCAAAATAATCCCTTTTAACTCTTTGATTCTATGAAAATGTGAGGGAAGTTCAGATATCTGTATTAATGTCCTGACTCTCCACTGGCAAGAGTAGATTGTTCTCATAATTGCTTAAATGGTTAACTTTGTCATAGCATATTCAGATACAGAAAAAAAGGCCATGTGTTTGCCATTTCAAATTTGCAAAAATTGTCATATTCACGGTATGGACTGTTGCAAGTAACTAAATGCTTGTGAAGTTTGGCTGTATTTGGCTGGGCTCAGGTGGTACATTGGCACTAAAGTTTATCATTAATTTTATGATGCAGGTGGTTTCAGTCTTTCCTTGCTGGATGTATGAATATGTTTCACTTGGGCTGTCTCTTTTATTTATTCTTGTTGTCTGGCTGGAGGGGCTCAGACACAAAGATGCTTGTCACTGACAGATATGACCAGTATCTGTAGCCCCCTGAGAAGACTGATTGTTCAGCTGGATGATAGTTTGAGCTGTAAGATGCACATTCATTAATCACTTGTAGAGACTTTGCTTTATTTCCTTCCCAGGGAAGATCTGGAATGCTTTCACACAATGATGCTAACCTGTTTATTCCTAACAGTTATTTTAAAAAGGTGAATATTTTTAATATAAAAATACCCATATTTACATCAGTTTGTGAAACACGAGTCCAGAAAAAATATCTGTTTCTCACTCATTTTTCTTACTGTATAAACCAATGTAATTTTAAGCCAACGTATGTTTAGTTGTCAGTTATAATAACTGATGCCATGATGTTCTGAATCCTATTTCTTCAGAACTTAGCCTCTTTCTCCAAAGCAAAACTATTTCACTGTTAATATTTATATATGAATAATATGTGTCATAGCACTTTAATGTTTAAAAACCCCACAAACCCAGTATATTATCTGTAGAAGCTTCTGATAAGTTTCAGAAATTATTGGCCAGCATACTTTGATATGGAGCAGAATTGTACCACATATTCAATTGTGCTCATGGAACTGGTACTGTGTGATTAATTTTAACATATTTTAGATCAGTAGTTTTTGCCATTATTATTTGCCATAGATAAAAACATTCTGCAAATCTTTTTTCCTGCACACACTGATCTCTGGTCTTTGGTCAGTATCTTGATCCTCTGAAAATCTATGCAAGAATTCACTTGCACATAAGGCTGGTTAAAATGGAGTGGAAATCATGTGCATTCATGAAACCCTGCCAATCTGTTCACATGTGACAGATTGCTTATAAAAATGATTTTTTTTTCCCACATCAATATTACTGAAACCAACTATTTTTTTCCTTTCATCTATATCTCAAGCAATCATCATAGAGAAGCATAGAAGTATTATATAAATTTGTGTTGAAGCTAAGCAAATTTGATGGGTAAATATTTTATTAATTTAACATCTAATTCTGTATTGCTTTCAGAGAGATTACTTATTCCTAGTTTAGATTTAATTTAGCTGATATGACATGATATTTTCAGGTTCTTGTTTTACTATATTTAACCATGAGTTTCTTTGGATATTTAACACAAGGAGATGTTGAATTTATCCTGTTTCTAAACTGAACAGTTTTTCCATCATATGCTACAGAAATGAATTTCTTCATGCTATGTTTCAGGCTAGGATATATTTTCACACCTAAAATATATGCGGTAAATGATGATAGTCCTATAAGAAGAATTATCAACTCCAAGATAATGGTGCATAAGCCATTTTCTACTTACAATTCTGTTTATGATAAAAAAAACAGCTGGATTACCAACTGTTTCAAACTTACAAGACAGTGCTGAAAATGCTGATACTCCTAAATAAATCTGCATGTGTGAATTATTACCCATGACAGTTTGTGGTTCCTTTTCAATAGGAGGAGAAGTCACGAAGCCCAGATTTGCTCAGTATTTCCATGGCAGTCTTGCCAGCCTTACCATACGACCAGGCAAAATTAAGAGTCAGAAAGTGATTTCCTGCTTGCAGGCTTGCAAGGAAGGTTTGGATATTAATTCCCTGGAGAGTCTTGGCCAAGGAATAAAGGTGAGGGATGAACTGGCATCATCTTTGCTAACATCTAAAACTGATTTATGAAGTGTAGAGCACAAGATAGAGTACAAAAGCATTCCAAGAAGCAATCTAATTTGCCATAAAGTCATGCAAAGACGAAGTAGAAGTGGAACATTAGAACACTGACTGTTATTTCTGGTATAAACCTATAGAAATCAGATGGCATAAATGTTTCACAGCCATTCAGGATTTCCAATTCATCCTGTCAGTGAAATGATTCTGTGTAGAAGCAGGTGAGTTTCCCATGAGATGCAACACACACGCCTGAATTAACAGGAATTTAAAATCACAGAACACTTATTTATGAAAGACTTCACCAAAAAAGAAACCCTGCAAGGTGTGGAAGTATAATGCAAAAGTTTCATAACTAGAACTATCTGCAGCAGATAAACCCCTGTCTATTCCAGCATACTGATCCTTGAGGCCATAACATTTTGGCATGATCAAAAAGGCGTCCTATTTTAATACAGATTGCAAGATTGAGGACAGTAGAAAAGTATTGAAAAAGAAAGTGGGACTATTTTATTACAGGTGTGTTCAATCTACCATAGTCACTAAGAGCTATACTTTCCACAATTTTTTTTTCTATTAAAACAAATTAAAAATTCTTATATTGAAAGCAAGACTTGTGGTCATTAAGCAGAATATTCATTTTGTTGTCAATAAAGATTCCACAAGTTCATTCAATGTGTTTGCTACAGCAAACCAACACTTTCAAACTCTGAAAAAGCTGAAAATAAGTTCTGCCAAAATGTATTGCATTGTATTGTATTATAAATTTGTTTTGTCTTTAAATTCAGTTTGATATATTTTGTAAATAACTCCTGTGCATTTGAACAAGTTGTCATTCATATCAATGCACTCACTCATTAGGTTGCATAATACCTAATTAAAGAATGGCTCTGTGATAAATAACAAAAAGAATTCTGTAAAATATTGAATAATAACACTTTGATGTGTCTACCCAAGCATTAGCTCTATTTAAGTTAGATTTACTTTCAGAAAAATAAGTGTGGGACTGTAGTCCATACCTGAAGAAATATAGCTGTTGCTCAGTAAACTGAATGGTATTTAATATTCTCAAATTATTAAAATACTTTCTGAATGTTCAAAACATATTCAGTAGAACTGTAATTTTAACATTAATCATGTCTAAAGAAAGATAATAGCTGAGATCACATTTTTCAACTTAAATGAAAGATATTTTGTACAGATACCAGAAAATATGCACACATAAAAAAGTTATTTATTTAAAATTTTTACAGCCCTTTGTTAATTCTTGTTTAACTCCTGAGCAATAGAAACACAGTTTTCTACCACTGTTGTCACTGTAGTTTTGAAACAGCTGCTGGAAGGAATTTCGTCAACACTCTTAGCAGTTAATTCATAAAGAATACTCTGTTGGTTTGTTAGATTTATATCCCATGTCTCATTCAGGAGTTCAAGTTAGAGAACATGCCATTTTCTCCTGTGTTTCCCCAAGGCAAATCTGTGAGCTGACAGAGAGTAACTGGCCCCAAATCACCTCCTAAGCTTTCATGGCTGCACATGTATAGAACCTGGAACTCCCCAATCTTAGTCCAACAGTTTAACCCAGTGTTTATCAACCTTGCTGCTTTAAGATGGGTGGGCTTCAATTCCCAGAATTCCCCAACCAGCCTTGAAGTCCACCCATCTTAAAGCGCCCAAGGTTGAGAACACTGGGTTAACCTCTATGTCTCACTGACTCTCAGGTCTATGCATGCTGCTTCATTTGTTTCCATTATCACACAGCATTACTGGCAAAAAAAGTAGTATTTACTGACAGTTGAAGACTATTCAAGTGCTCAGATATGCAGTCAAAAATAATGTCTATTTGAAAACATAAGCATAGTTTGGTTTTCTTTTTTAATAATAATAATAATAATTATTATTATTATTATTATTATTATTTGATATTAGCTAGCCTACTACCTGGGATTCATATGCAGATAGGCTTTCCTTTTATCTTGAAACAAATAAAAATGATACCCCTAAACAGGCAAGCAAACAAAAAACCCTATCATTTTGACTATCAGTGGGGCCAGACATTGTTCCTGATTCATCAAAGTTTAAAACATTTCTCATTTCTCCTTCTTCTGAAGGAGCATTTCTCACCTATGCTATCAGTCATGGTACAGATATTTAAATTTCACAAGCAAATTTGGTAATCTGGAGAATACATTGCTGCTTATATAACAGAGCTGTGTAATTTATCTCAACTTTTCAATTTTGGGGGACTTTTTAGAAGAAATGCTAAGGGATCACCTTGTATATGGGATTTATGATGAAGTACTCCAGCAAAAGCTCTTGTCTGAACCAAAATTAGCATCTTCAGTGGCTCAAGAAAGAACATTAGCCAGTGAAACTGCATCACTACAAGTCACAGAAATCAAAAAGATAATAACTAATGTTAATGCTATTCACATTAACCAGACATAAAATTCAGAGCAATGACTTTAGCTGAATACAGAAAATACACCTTCCAGAAAAGTCCTGGCATACAAATCACTGTTTGGACTGAAGTTGATTACATCAGTGCTCTGTGTACAATTCAGCGATATGAAATGTGGGTTTTGTAAGAAAAGGGGCTATATAAATGAGCATGCCATTCCAACACATTAATGTGAATCCAAGAAAATATACTAAGGAATTACAGCTGTTTCACATGAACTTGACTATTCACAGGATAATCAACATCAGAAACTGTATCATGGTTGTATCAAAGAGGTTCAAGATGATGCAAAGCTTGTAGGAATATTAATTAAGGGTCAGGAATATGAGATGAAACTTGACTTTCATCTCATATGATCTCAGATGAAACTGAAGTCTGGACAATCCATAAGCAGCAAAACCTCTTTACAGGTTGTTGAAGTCATTATTCTTTCTTCATGACTACAATTGGAAGGGTGATATGTTTGGAATCTGTAACGTACATGTGCAGCATGGTTATTTCCAGGGGAGACTTCCAGTCATTGTTACAGAAAAGGAACTAAAAACTTTTTAGGAAAGAATTGCTTATTACCACTAGGAATCAGTGTAGGACAGGTACATATGATTACCACTGGTCAAATAACAGAAGCAATTAATAGATACCCAGAAGAGTTCTGCAAGGAACTAAGAGTATTCAAGGGGAGGCCATAGTAATTCCATTTTGATAATCCATTAAAGCCAAATCACATTAAATCAGGAAAGGTATGATTTTTTGCCTTATGAAGAAACATCAAAGAAGAGGTTGAAGTTTTTTATCAAACAAGGAGTTTTTGAACCACTTGAGTTCTAATGGGCTATGTGCACTTTGTCAGTGCCAGAGGTGTCCATGGGGGAAATACAAACATAAAAATTGTAGTTACAACAGCATGATCAAAGCCCCACTCCTTGGTAAATGCATATGACATTAACACAAGCACAAAAGGAGTGGGGGTTCGATTTCACTGTCACCCGTATAGATGCCCCTGGCCAGTATAAAACCTAATGTAAAAACTAGGCTTTACAAAGATTATAAATACACTGTAAATAAGGCACTTATACAGCACCCATTAATATTGCTTGCAGTCTACTGCTTGCTGCTCTTGTGGGGTGGTGGTGGTAGGGAGGAGTCACTACAAAACTTGAGAAAGCATGAACACACCAGGGACTGGCTGCTGCTGCTACTATAGCAGATGTCCAACTATCATTAGCGATCATGGGATATTATCTGCTCTATGATTCCAGTTCGGAATCATAGTTTGTGTCTAGAACAGTCCAGCACTTCACAGAGATTCTGCTTTCTGGAATACTGGATGTGATGCTACACTTTGATTATGGGTTCAAGAGTGGAATAACTTATTACTAGACTTCAGGAAATTCTGCAGTATTTTGACAAATCTGGTATTCAATTAAAAAGAGAATGTGAAGTCAGATCTTTCAGTATTACTGTGCATTCTTGGCTTCCATACTGATGCTTTGGATATTCATCCAGTCAAAGATGATTGGGTAGCCCATGATGTAACTGTTAGAAAAACAAACCAGGAGCTTCAAGCTTTCTCACAACTCCTCAGTGTTCCTATATGTTCCTTCCACAAGAGGCAACTTTAGCTGCAATGCTTTTTTGTTTACTGCAAAAGGGGTTCAGTGGCACTGTACTCAACAGCATGTGGATGCTTTTCGGAAATTAAGAAATTATTTACTTCTTTGCTCTTATACATTATGAGAGAAAAAAAGAGCTGCTGATTACTCATGTTTTTCCTTATAATATTGGAACTGTGTTGAGTCACAATGCCAAGTGACACAGAGGTGCCAGTTTGTTATTATTCTAAGACTTTATCTTCTACTGAAGGGAACTATATTCAAATTGACAAAGAGGCCTCAGCTGTTATTCCAGGAGTCAAGAAGTTCCACAGCTCTTTCTATGGCCATACTTTTGAAATTTATTTTGACTTCAAGTTTTCGAGAATCTTTTCTAATACAAAGCCTATACCCTTAATATTTATATGCAGTATTAGAGTCCCTTGCTTAATGCTAATGTTTACTCACTTGTCTACAGTTAGAATCAGCAATAGCCAGAGCTGATATTCTGACTCACCTGCCAGATTTTATAGTGCCATCACTGCTGGAAGTCTTAATGCTAGAGGTGTGATGGAATGGAATTATGAAGGCCAGGCTCAGGGAGAAAAACATTTTCTTTCATCTCCTGATGAGCGTGGGAAATACAAGAGGATAAGACTGGCACCTCCCTGAGGAATTCACAATGTTGTGGCTAGCATTACTTGGGTGCTGGGGTTTCAGTCTGGGAAGATTCTTGCTAGAGGTTGTAGCTAATAAACATAGCTGGACTGAATTTACATGGTCTGTTGGAGTTCCTTGGGCTAGGCCTGACAGAGGCCCTCCTATACCCACAACTTCAGGCTGATCAAGTTGCAAGATTGCCTGCCAGAGACCCCAAAGTAATACACGTGTTAAATTGGGTATAGAAGGGTTGGTCAGTTGACAAGCCACGGGAGGAATTTAAACCATTCAAAACCGTCAGCATTAGACATCTCCCCTTAAATGTATTGTCGAAGGCTTTCACGGCCGGCATACGATGGCTGGTGTGGGTCTTCCGGGCTGTGTGGCCGTGGTCTTGAAGTTTTGTTTCCTAACAAGTTTTG